TCGGCGAGGCCGGGCGCCGCCGGGCGCCCCAGCGCCTCCGTCACCAGCTCCAGCTCGGCCTCCGCCAGCAGCACGCGGTCGGGCACCTGCGGGTAGCGGCGCTTTGGGTGCCTGGCCCGCCGGCTTCCCCACGAAGGGAACTCGCTCCTCCCGAGGGACACAGGGGAAAGCGGGAGTCCCCCGTCTTAATCGCTTTTTTAATTTCTTACCGACAGCTCTGCCGTGTTCCATTTCCGATGGAAAACCCTGGTGTTGCATTTTCGGTCCGACAGCAGCATGGTCTTCTCCTGGGAGCAGGAGGAGGCATGAGAGGGGCAACTTTAAAAAAATGCCCCTTCCAAGGGGTGAGCATCCAGGGAACGTCGGACCTTGCCGCCCATGCTCGGGAGGTCCAGGCGCGTGACAAGATGGGTCAGTACTCACAAACTGCTCCTTCATTTCTTGGATGGCCTTGAGCTCGGAGGGCAGGATGAAGCGGTACTTGGAGAGGCCGCAGCTCTTCCGTGGGGCCTCGTGGGGAAAAGCGCCCACCAGGCTGGTGCCCAGGAGCAGGAGCATCAGGAACATGGATCGGCCGCCAACGGGTTGCATTTTTGCCTGGGAGCATCGTGGTGGGGGGATGCCGGCATCAGCCAGGGCCCCCCAAGGACCGCGAGAGAGTGAGGCCATGAAGCCAAGCACAGCCCCAAACCCACCCCCTTGCATCAATGTAAGAGCCTCCGTTGGCAGGTGCAGCTGCCAAGACAAATACCCCCGCGGGGCCGGAGCCGGGTCGCTGCTCACCTGGATGCTCAGAAGCTGCCTCGCTCGGCTCGTGGCTGCCTGTCTGGATGCTCTGCCCCATCCCGACCGCTTTTATACAGGGCCGGCACGGAGCTGAGCGAACAGCAGTGCGCTTTCCGATCGGCAGGAAAATCCACAGGTGCTCGCGTCTGGAAACGGGAAAGCGAAAGCGGCAGAGGGAATCCCGGGCAGCAGGCGTGCACCGTGCCGCCTCTGGGCGGCTGCGCCCTGCCCGCAGCCTCCCGCGGGCGTGCGAATCGCCGCGGAAAAGCGCCGGGAAGAAAAGCCACAGCCGCCACCGCCGCTGCCGCGCGGCCCGTGACAGCCCAAAAGCGGTGGCTGCAGGTGGCTGAAGGGCCAGCCTGGTCAGAAAGGTGGTTTGCAGTGTGAAAGCGCAGACGCTGCTGCAGGATTCGCAGCCCAGCCGGTGACCCGGTCAGGCTTTCGCTGCCCAGCCCAAGTGAGCGGGGCTGAGCAAGATTTTCAAGGGGCTGAGCGTGATGGCTAAATAAAAGCAAAGCCTGCAACCAGGACCAGTTTTCTTAGTTGGCAGTTGGTGTGAATGCAACTTCTTTGCATGTCCCGTATGGTTAAAGACAGAAACACACAGATTTTGTAACAGATGTTTTATTCCACACAGTTTGTTCCTATTAAATACAAGAAAAGGCCCTGAAAGGTGTAAATAAGTACACAGGTATCGCGGGAGCGAGGTGCAGCATCCATGATAGGTAACTTCTTGGTGAAACCCTCCCCAGTTATAACAACATCTTTCTGCTCCTTTCAGCAAGACATTCAGAAGGGAAGGAGGCACCGCAGGCTGCTTTGGTTTTTCTCCTCCACACGCCTGTGGCTTTGACGGCCCCGGGCATCACTTTTGTCTGGAAAAGAAAACATGAAATCTGCTTCGGGCAGAAAATCCCATGGCCAGCAAAAGTGAAAGCGGAGCGGGGAAGCCGTGAGACCAGCCGGCGGCTCACAGAGAGGCGC